TCTAGCCTGATTATACAGAGTCCTATCCCCACTCGTGTAGGCCTCCTCTTTGACATGACAAAGCTGTTTGAGCTTCACTGTGAACCAAGGTTTATTGTTGTGCAGACAGTCTTAATGTGCACACATACTGTATGTCCTCACAGAAGCTGATATATGATGTCACCATGTCAGTATACACACCCAGGACTATAGCTGCAGCCTCACAAACACCCCAGTCTGTACAGTCAAAGCAGGCCTGTAGCTTTGACTTTGCCTCACCTAGAAGCTGTACTGACAGTATTGTTTTACAAAGTCCACATAACTGTGGGTTTGTGACAGCAGCATGTTAACCCTGTTTAATAGATCTTTAACTAGAAATGTGAAACCCAGTGTAACAGATAACAATTATTTATCTGGAGCAGTGCCTGTATGATAAGGATTGTGGTCAGACAATTCTACTGTATAAACCGTGGCCTAAACAAAAACACAACTCTACAGTGTGAATACAGGACTTCAGACTCTCTCACTCTGGTTCATATGTTTTAGAGAACAATGCTCCATCTAACAAAAACACAGTAAACATTTAATTAGGGCACCTTCTGAATGACCACCTGTAGAGGTACTGAGGGCACTGGAACCCTGGGCAGATCAAGAACATACTGAAGGGATGACGTCTCCCATCTGGCCTTTGAATACTTCAGCAGCTCCCAAGAAAAACTGGCGGTAGCGGCAGTGAAGAGAGATGTCTTAAGACTGTATAGCTTGTTGCCACCACCCCCAGACCCAAGTGGTGGGTAATATGTTGATGGTTATAATAATATGAATCGGAATATTGACAGTTCAGTCAGATTTAAAGCTACATCAGTTCAAAACCAGAAATTTGAACCAAATGTGTTTCAAAATGGTCTAAAAGGTTATGGATTTCATTAATCAATCTTTGGCGAATTTACTGTTAATTCTCACTGTGCTCTGCTCTAGTATGTGCTTTTTGTGTGTTTGTGTGCATTTCAGAATCAGAATCAGCTTTATTGGCCAGGTGTGTTAGACACACGAGGAATTTGACTCTACAGAACTGTATCAGCAGCAAACTTCCTGAGCTGGCACAGGAAGTACATCCTCTGCTGTGCCTTTTTGGTGATGGTCCTGATGTTGGACGTCTACTTCAGGTCTTGGGAGATAATGGAGCCCAGGAACTTGAAGGACGCTACTGGTGATACAGGGCTGCCAAGTATGGTGAGAGGGGTAAGGTGGGGGGGCTCTTCCTGAAGTCCACTGTCATCTCCACTGTTTTGAGCATGTTCATCTCTAGGTTGTTGCGACTACACCATAGGACCAGCTGCTCAACCTCCCATCTATAGGCCGACTCGTCACCGTCTCGGATGAGACAGATGACTGTTGTGTCATCTGCAAACTTTAGGAGCTTGACAGATGGGTCCTTCGAGATGCAGTCATTGGTGTAGAGTGAATACAGCAGAGGGGAGAGCACACATCCCTGGGGGGTGCCTGTGCTTATTGACCGGGTGCTGGATGTGTTTTTCCCCAGCCGCACCTGCTGCTTCCTGTCTGTCAGAAAGCTAGTGATCCACTGACAGGGGGTCCAGCAGGGGGTCTACGATGTCCTTCAGGTGGGCCAACACCAGTCTTTCAAAGGACTTCATAACTACAGATGTCATGTCGACAGGTCTGTAGTTGTTCAGTCCACTGATGGAGGGTTTCTTGGGGACTGGGATGATGGTTGAGTGTTTGAAGCAGGAGGGAACTTCACGCAGCTCCAGTGATCTGTTGAAAATAAGTGTGAAGATGGGGGCCAGTTGATTGGCACATGCTTTCAGGCAGAAGGGGGTCACACCATCTGGGCCTGGTGCCTTTGTGATCTTTTGTTTTTTAAAAAGGCCATGCACATCTTTTTCACAGATCATTAGAAGCGGGGGCTGGAGGGAAGGGTGGTGATTGTCGGGGGAGTGACTGCTGGGTTTGAGGTGGGCAGGGAGAGGGGTGAATATTGTTTCTCAAACCTACAGTAGAACACATATCTATTTCATGGTCTTCCTTTAATGTATATATACTGTAGTCTTTCACATAAAAGTCAAATTAAAATTGAATATCTGCTGAATTGAATCGAAATCACTCAAAATTTTACTGTATCAAAATTTATAAATTTTGCTGTATCATTTTTGTATTTAATTGTGGACCATGTACTGAGATACATACTGAAATCACATGAGAGGGAGCGATACACAATATACCATTATACAGTATATTGTCACACCTTCAATAGAGCAGCACAGTGCAGATGCCACAACTCCTGTTATATGGCCTACAAGTAATTTTGAGGTCTTACACAGTATGCAGTAAAATAAGCAGATCAGTCATATGACCAAGTCTTTGGTTTTGCCAAAGAAGTGCCTAACAAACCTAAGCCATATCGTAAAATGACCATTTGCATTCTTGAACAACTGCCCGACTCTCTATTTATTGCTTCTGCTCCCGCCATCTGCTCATTGTTCCATTAATTACATGTGATTACCCTCATTTCACACCCTCTCTCCTTCCATCTTCCTATTTTGAACACTTAAAACAGCCATTATTTCACTGGGAGGAGGAGTGACATGGACTAGCAGGACTTTTATGTCTATAAATAACCAGTTGGAAGGATGAAGGCAAAGAGATGGAGAGGGATACAGAGGGAGTGGGAGTAAAATAGACCAGCTGTGGGCTGTACAAATATTTGGTAAGCAGAGAGCACTTGGTTAGAAGGAAATCAAAGACAAAACAAGGCCTGGTGTACAACGAACAGTAGAGTGCTGCTGAATCCAAAGTAGGAGAGTGGAGAGGAGTCACCTGATGAAATATCTGAACAAAAACACTTCTCATCACTCGAGCATGACCTCTGAAACCTTGGTCCTGTAGATCAGAATTACCATGACTTCGTGGATTGACCAGTGGGAGCACAATTTAATTTCGCTATTCTCTGTGGGTGTACACACACACACACTAGAGAAGTTCCTAGTCCACTGACTGACACTGGGGTTACATACCCTGCCCTGTAGGCATATGAATGGCAGCTGAGAGGCCTGGTTTAACTGGTTCAAGGATTCAAACCAGAAGGCATCTTCTTTCTAATCATCATGATCCTTCTTTAGTCTCTTTATTCCTTCTCTCTCCATACTCGTTTTTCCTGCATATGCTGATGATGTGATTTTAAATGTTACTCCTGTGTACAGACTGTACTGGAAAGGAGCTCTATAATAATTCCCATGGTGAAGTACAGGACTACAATCATTACTATTGAAATGAAAAGGGAGAAGAGGGAGGAAAATAGAGAAGAGCCATAGCTTGTGTGATTAGAGCCAGTGAGATGGAAGCCATTTCTAGATGAGGGTGATCTCAAAGAGTGAAGCCTGACAGGATTTGGGACTGATTATATTCAGCCTAGACAAGTAAGGTTCAAATGTACATTTATGTGAGTCCTTTGAACATTTTTTCCAAAGCTTTACTATTTCTGACACAAGAGTTCAAACACATTCTCTCTACAAACGCACACACACACACAGAACAATCAGTATGCATAGACAATCACAGCACTGACACCTCCAGCTATCTTATCTTCATCTCTGAGGCCAGACAATCCACATACTGTAGCTCCTTCAGCAAATACACGCATGCGCACGTGCACACCCGCCCACATTCTAGTGTCTATAGTGCTTCTGTCCTAGCACATGCTGTAGTAATTTTTAAAGGACTGGCTTATCAGTTTTAATGTCTGAAAACTGAGGAACACACTCACCTTAGCTGTCTTCTCTCCCAGTTTGTGCTCTAATAAAAATATGATAACCATCCAGTTTATTATACTACGTCATAGATTTCTTTTTGATCGGTGCAAATCATTTAATATGCAATATCCTACAGTCATGAGTGTCAACATATTAATTTATACTTGAGCTACTATCTTATGATTTCTAAATGAGAAGATTTAATTAATCTACTTTTGAAAACTGTTGAAATTAAACTACTTTTGAAACTAAATGTATGGCTCAAAACTGTTTTTTTTTTTATTTTCAGTCATTATATTTCATTACTCTTACTGTGCTGTTTGATCTCAGATCACTATTAGAGTCACTTTCTTTTAGCTGAGCCTGATAACTGTAAAATGAGAAGGAAAACGCATTCCATACCAATGGGCTACTGTTTCTAACAGACATTTTTAGCCCAGAATGAGAACGTCAATGAAAGTACAACAATTTCACAGTAATTTAATGAGTAAATCCATCCTCCATGTAGTGTCTTTGAAAAAAAAAAGTTTTAAAAGCTAAACAGATTTACATAATCCATTTTAATATGCATCTTGAGTTATTAGATTCCAATCAAATCCATTTCTTTTTTTGCTGGAATATTATAAATAGTATAATCTCATCAAAATGTGGATGAATATGGGCAACAAATAAACCAGGTGTTCATGAGAATTGAGAGGATATGGATCTGCCTGACATTTATAATCCTTGTGACATGTGCTTCCTGAAACCAGATCAGCAACAATGCAGTTACAGATACAGTATATGTAACGGTGCTATGTATTTGTAAGTCAGCCCCCAGACCTGCACGCACTGACACTGTTGGTCTCTGCAGGAATGGCTCAAAGTAACACAGACAACTAAAATTATTTAATGGAGTGGGGATAAGGGACCTATTTGACGGGATTCCAAGGGATCCCCTGCAAAGTAGGGATTGCTGCAGTTTAATTTGTTGTGTGTGAATGGGTGAATGGTGTATCATCTCTGTAAAGCGCTTTGGCCAGTGCAACACACTGTGAGAAAGCGCTATATAAAATACAGTCCATTTACCATAGATAATCTTAAGGGTCTTAAAGATATTTGCTCCATATAACAAAAATATGATCTACACTCAAACAGTTTTTCTTCAGAACACCACACCGATAAACGCACCCACATCTGAAGAATCCTGAGACAAAATCTTAAGTGGAGCTGAGGCGAAAGTGTAAGTCTTTTTTACTCCCACAGTACCTGTCACTGGTGTTTCGGAGGATCGCCAGGGCATCAGGGAAGCCATCCAGGTTGTAGTCCCCAAAGTGAAGGACCAGGGGTTGGTTGGATTTCTCCATCACAAAACTCCAAACTGTATCTCTCTGCTGGAAATCTGACAGCACTGATATCCACTGCAAAAAAAAAAAAATTAAAAAAAAAAAATCAAAATTAATTAATTAACCAATACAGCATTAGACACAAAACATTGACATCAAAGGTAAGAAGAAAAGTAAATGACAGAATAGAAATGGTAGATGATAATGAGATTAAGTTCTTGCCAAAAAGCCATTTAGTTTCATTGTCTATTCATGTTCATTGCCTTAAATCTTCTACTAAGTTTTCTGAATTTTGCTATTGCTATTTCCTCTTAATTTTTCATCAGGATTTTGAAACAGAACAAGATTTTAAAAAAAAGGATCATTTCATTAGCATAAAGAAAAAGTGTCCTTGTTAATGAAATGACCCTTTTTAAAGAAATTGTAAGTCAAATAAAACAATCTGAAATGAAGGTTATAAAACTGTTGTTGAGAACATGCTGTCAATTTACACTGTTATCTCTGGGCAGCATGATATAAATATTATAATATACAATACTACACTAATTCCAATGTAATCCCAAGTTTACTACTGATGTGTTGAAGCATTTAAAGTGTTAAAGGGTTGACAGAGGTTAGCAGCCAACTTTTAAATTCTTGTTTGAAAACATACACAATTGACAGTGCAGTTAGAATGAAGCTCAAACCTACATTTTATTAAGAAAGCAGCACATTTCACCTATTTTGGTCACTTATAAAAAAACTCTTACTCTATATATGCATCATAGCCTCAAATCAACTGCAAATACACACTGTACATACAATTTTGACAGAGCTAACCTAAAAAATAGTAATTTAAAACTAATAACAGAGGCATGTCTATATTTAAGTGCTTTCATGCCATCCAAATATCAGTGGGCTGTGAAAGCTGGTGTGGGGGACTGACACAAGACCATCTTATCCCTTTCAGTGCACTTTCAGTTAGAGCACTACAATGATGCTCATCTCTGATGATCTCATGCTGGTTAGTTTGAGGAGTATTTAACTACAAGAGTGTTCCAAAACAACTTTTTGAAACTTTCAACACCAAAGTTTAAAACAAAAAAGATAGTATGACTGAAGATCAATCCTAAATTGACCACCCAACAGTAATTTTTTGTCTTTGAATTCACCTGCAGCACCCTGAGTGCAAACTGACACACCAACAATACTCTTAATTATAAGATCAATCTCAAAACAATTACTTTAAGAAATCCATTATTTGAAAACTAAAAAGCAAATCATATTATCTGTTGAGGAAGTGTCTGGAGAGAGGGAAGTCTGGGCATCTTTGCTTAGACTGCTGCCCCCGGTTCCGGATAAGCGGAGGAATATGTATGGATGGATGGATTATCTGTTGTGATTTACTTGTAAATATAACATTTTGATGGTAACATGGTGCCCTCCGCGGCAGACGTGTTTGACCGTTTGCGCTTCTGAATTCCGGCTTTTTCTTCTTTTTTGTGTTTTTTGCTCTTTCTGCAGTGCACAAATTTCACGCACGGCTAACATACTCAAACAGCCTTTTGGGAATTTGCTGGCTTCATACCACCGGAGCTACAGTTTGTTGTATGCCACTGCCATGATCACTGCCACCCTCAGGAGGGTCCCAAAGCACTGAGCTCGAGTGAGCAAGCAAACACCAGGAAAGCGCACCGGAGACAGAGACGCAAGCGAGCCAAGAGGGGAGGGCTCCATGCTAAGCTAAAAGCTTGTGCTACCCAACCACCAATACCCAGCCTTTTACTAGCTAATGTACAATCTCTGGAAAACAAGCTGGATGAGCTAAGAGCCAGGATTACAATGCAATGAGAAATTAGACAATTCTGTGCTCTGATTTTCACTGAGACCTGGCTGTCAGACAACATCAACAACTCGTGGTGTGGAGATGTACGGACTGTGCATAAGCATGGCTCACCAGTAGTGGTGTTTTTAGTGCTGAAATGCCAGCCCTACTATCTGCCAAGAAAATACAGTAGCGTGTTTTTGGCTAGCATGCATGTTAACCCATGAGCTAATCCCATGGCAGCACGCATCAAGCTCCACGACATCATCAGCACACTAAAGACCCCCAATGCTATCTTTATTGTCGCTGGTGACTTTAACTAGTGCAATCTACGGACTGTACTCCCCAAATATTACCAACCGGTGGACATTCCCACCCATGATAAAAATACACTGGACCATGTTTACAGTAACATACAGGGTGCATACAGGGCCGCATCCCGCCCCCATTTTGGACACTCGAACCACATCTCTTTGTTCATGTACCCAGCCTACAGACAAAGACTGAAACAAACAAACCCTGTCACCAAACTAATTAAACTCTGGACCCCAGAGGCTGAAGGCATCCCACTGTTTTACCCAGACAGACTGGGATGTGTTTAAAGCTGCAGCCACCTCAGAGGACATTTCTGTCAGCGTACAGGATTATGCTGAATATGTGACCGGGTACATTAGTACCTGTACTGACAACATTGTGCCCACCATACAAGTCAGGAGGTTTCCCAACCAGAAGCCCTGGATGAACAGTCAGGTACGCCACATGCTGTGTGCTTGCGTTCATGCACTCTGCAAAGCAACAGGACCAGACAACATCCCTGGGAGGGCATGTGCCAGTGAGCTGGCTGATGTGTCCTCAATCCCATTCTCTAAACCCACAACCGTGTCGACTCCCACATGAATAACATCATCCTGAAGTTCGCGGACGACACCACAGTGATTGGTCGCATCACTGGTGGGGACGAAACAGCCTACAGGAAGGAGGTGGCCGGTTTGGTGTCATAGTGCAAGGACAATAATCTCAGCCTCAACACGGACAAGACAAAGAAAAGGATAGTGGACATGAGGAAGGAGAGGAGATCTCAGCCACTGTTCATCTGGGGGCTCCAAGTGGAGAGGGTGAGCAGCTTCAAATACCTGGGCATCCACATCAGTGAGGACCTCACTTGGACACTTAACACCACACAGCTGGTCAAGAAGGCCCAACGGTGGCTGTACTTCCTGAGGAGGCTGAGGAGGTTTGGCATGTCGCCTAGGATCCTTTGCAACTTCTACAGCTGCATCATTGAGAGCATCTTGACCAGCTGCATCACTGTCTGGTATGGAAGCACTACTGCCACGGACCGCAAGCACCTACAGAGAGTGGTAAAGACTGAGGAGAAGATCACCAGGACTCCACTGCCCTCTCTGCAGAGCATTTATCACCACAGGGTGCATAGGAAAGCTGCCTCCATCCTCAAGGACCACACCCACCCCTCGTATGGACTGTTCACACCTCTACCCTCAGGCCGGGGGCTCAGAAGTGAGAAATGCAGGACCTCTAAACTGAAAAACTCTTTCTTTCCCTCTGCCGTCAGACTCCTAAATAGCTGACTCAGGATCTACCTCATGTAATTCCACCTGTACTGTTTACACACTCAGTTTGCACATGCATAATTACACACTCACTACAGACTATTTGCAGACACAGCTCCCACGTAGCATACATTCTCTCTTCACTACACCGTGTTCTTGTTGTACGTTTCATTGTGCCTCTTTCATTGGCAGTTTTAAAGTGCCTTAGATTTTGTGTCACCTACGTATCTAATTTATATTTCATTTATACTGTGTGGCATTTGTGCGGACAGCAAAGTAAGAATTTCATTGTACAGTGAAACACGTTTTCTAACCATGCATATGACAAATAAACACTTGACTTGCAACTCATCTCTTCAGTATGTTGTACTGTCCCAAGATGTTACCAAAATATGACTTAACAGTCAGAACAAAACTAAAGACAATCAAAGAAACCAGACTAAATTTGACTTGTACCAATAACAAAATTTAATGTCACAGATGGACTTTAGAATCAGGTGCCTCTGGCGTAATATTACTGACTGATTTTTACGATGGGAAACAGTCAAACTAAAGAGGTACACACAGTAAACTGCATAAAAACAAACAGCACTCTGGAGACCGCTTTAAAAAAATCTCACTGAGGCCATTATCACCTCCCATTTAACATGAACATTTTTTCCACTTAGCAGCTGCATTATTTGTCAAACACACTGGCACTGGTGTAAGCCACGACTCTCCATTTATGCCAGAATGTATTTGTTTCTCAATCTGTCTTCCTACAATTCTACCAAATGCTGGTGACTGCAACAGGAAAACATGATCCATTACTATTTGTTTTGCAGAACAAAGGTTTATTGTAACTGCCCATATAGTTCCAGCGAGTTCATCTGAATAGAGTTTTAACTGGTGACAGGCATGCTGGTCTTCCTACTTTCACTGGTGTCATGACAATAGGGTGTTAGCCATCAGACTCCTGCGAATTACACACTAGGAGAGTGACCATTATCATCTCTGATTCTCACTTCAACACCATCATAACTGGCATGAGTAGCATGTATTCACTAGAGGATATTCTGTTTCATACATGAATTGTTTCTAACTTGCACATGGCCTGAACCAAATAATTTGTCTATTACTCTAGCAGTCTAATTATAGTAAAGGCTCTATTCTATTATAAAGCCTCGTCCGGTTCTTTCAAACCAGGAACTCAGAGGGACGACTTAGACCACTTGGATATATAAAAAAATATAACCGTGCTGGTTTATTCAAAGAGTCACAGGCAAGAATTAACATTACATTTCCAGAGATCTTCCAACCCCCAGGCTGCCCAAGCAGCCGGAAGCAGAAAAGACCCCGAACCAAGAATTGCTATACAATATCATCACTTAGTTGGCTCGCTCCCTCCTCCACCGAAACGTCAACTGAGACGTCTCTCAGCTTTGCAGCTGGCTATAACGTTAGCCAAAACATGAGGAAAAGTCAAGGTGTGTGGCTGTTGTTTTCGTGGTGTGTATCTAAAACAATTGGACATAACCTTACACATTAAGACAAATATTAAGACTAGCATTACAGTTGACACTAACAGCTCTTTGCCTGTAACCTTGACCTGCTTGCAGTCTGCACTGCAGGCACATTACTGACCAGTTAACAGCCTGAGCTAGTCAATCTGTCTCCACTAACATTTCTAGACAACAAATCTCTGAATATCTATCTAACTA